AACACAGGCGTGGGGGCTCACACGCCAATCCAGCCCCGCGACCGCTAAAGCCTGTTAGTATTATTGACGGAGTAAGAAATAAATCTCCCGGCGACACTGACGAAGCACGCCTCACTGACCGGGTTCTACGTCACGGGTCACAGGGGTCACGGGGTCAGGCCAGTCGGCGGCGGCGGTGCCATGATGCTTCATCCAACTTCTAGCAGACTATGGTGGGGTTTCTTGTTCCACTGATTTCTCACTAGAGATAGGGACCTCCTTTGTTTGTTTGTTTGAGTAAAGACATGCACATCGACCCAATATCGGTTATTTAGGGCTGGGGGGGAAAGTATGACACACCAGAGGGAAAGAAAATAAGTGCGATCTACTGATGGCGCCTTCCAACCACCCGACCCGGTTAAGGACCTTGTTGGGCTAGCATAGACGGACGACGAGGGGTCGAAAACGAGGGGCACGACTTTAGCTGTGAGAGTTTACCTTGTAACATGCCCGAGGGGGCAAGTGAAAACAAAAAGGACAAAATGCTGAAGGTAGAGGTTCGAGCCAACGTCAGTCAAGAACTTCGTTCACCATTCCTGGAACGCTTCCGATCCAATTACGTCTTCGGCAGTGGAGAATACGGAGTAAGTGTCTTTCTTCTTTCAACTAGACAGGATTGATCAATATATACGAACAGGAGACTGAAAGAGAACCAATATAACAAAGATTTTTTAAATTATTCTTACAGAGCAGGAGACCGATAGTTTCCATAACAGGCATTGTAGAGAAATGTATCCAGTGCTTTCGTGTCCCTGCACTGCAAGTTGTCCCGTCGCTCATCAGAGCAATGTTTTCGTACGGGCTACGTGGGAACAACGCCCAAAAGTCATAGCCTGAGGTCTCAAACCCGCTTGCGTCTTCCAACTTGTTTGTTGTTGTTACCAAAGGAGCCCTTGAGTTTTGCCCCTCACTCCCAAGCCATGCTATAGTCGCGTAAAGTCTTTGTGGGTTCTTCTCACGTCTGTATTATTACTTTCTTCCTTGTGCGAGTGGGTAGGTCTTTATAAATACAAGTAATTCCTTACTGCCAAACTGTTTAAAGAACAGCCCTAGAGTGGAAAGTAGCTTCAAACACGTAGTCTTGACGTGGGAGAAAAACTTAAGGCACGGAGCCCAGGCATTCTTCTGGCGACCGAAACAATTCCAGAACCATTATCGTCCATCTCCGCTTCCCAATCTTTCTCTCTAGTTCTATCTCGCGCATCAATCGCCAGCCCCCAAGTCATGACAAAGCCGTTTCCTCTTCCAACTAGCTTCACCAAGGCAAATAACACCCTCCCCCGTCCTCCCCTATCCGACACACCCCTAAATTGGCCTGTTCGGGTTTCTGCGAAGGAGCAACCGCTATACAGAGAGCGTTGAATCCTGTCAAACCACGAAGCCAAACTTCGCTTTTCCCCCGTCTAGATTCTCTCAACGGGGTCAACATAACTTGTGCTTGGAATCAGCAGTAGGAAGAACGCCAGAGTCGAGATGTGCTTGATTTACACTGATAAGATTCTAAATTGAGTGCCTTGTACACATCGTCATACGGTTAACTCGGAGCTCGAATGGGAAAACCTAACACAATTATATCTACAGGGGGAAAAAGTAGATCTTCTAACAACAAACCAGTGGAGGACTAGGACTAGAAGAGTCGAAACTGAAATTTATGGAGATAAAGACGAAATCAGGATAAAGTGAGCAACAAAGATACCCGCTTTTCAGCAGAAGCATTAGAACATGTGGTTCGCCTGTTGCCGATTTATGTACATAACATTTTAAAAAACGTCTCTATTTTTAAACAGCCAAACAAAAACTTGATGAGCAAAGAGTTCGCGCATCGCCAGAGTGCGACAGCCACCACAGAAAGGTATGCAGACCCCGTCTCCGCGTGGCGCCGGCGGCAAGGGAAGCTGCCTGACACCCAGGGGGTCACAGAGGTCATCCACAGGTCATCATGACCTAAAACTCCTTGTTTGTGTAGAAGTGCTCACAGCTCATCTTCAGTTTTTGCCCCTCTATTCTCATGTCTCGCCATCACAAACTTCAATTCCTTCATTGGGCGAAAAAAATGAACCAAGAAATAAATAAAGCCCCCCCCCCCCCCACCACCCCTTTCCAAAAAGGAAAAAAAGAGGAAAATCGGCGGAAAACCCTTCCATCTACTGAAACAAACAAAACAAATTGAGAGAACGACTACACAGGTTCACCTCATTTAAACAAACATAATTTGTTTTTTCTTTTAGGAGGAAACCCAGGGAACGAAAGAACGCAAAACAAGCATTTCATTTCCTTCCACACTGTCAACCTAACGAGTCTACATTTTGTTTAGAAAAGACCCACCCCACCAAAAAAAAAAAAAAGAAATTAAAAAAATATCACCACAACGATTTTCAAAACTTTTACTAGTAATTTCCCCGAGGTGTACGTCTGTGGATTCGGGATAAATCAAGCATTCCCAATTCCCGCTAAACCCGAACTAAGTCTATTAAATGTACTCGCACAACACCGATTCCATCTCGGGGTGAATCCCGGTAAGTCGCTGGCAGCAACAAATTACGTGCTCACGGCCACCAGACCCACGTCGTCAAGACGAGAAACAACCTTTCCTTCTCCTCTTGTGAGTTTTTGTTTGTTTTGTTTTTGGTTTGGGTGAGGGTCAATACCTACTGTATAGAAAGTAGGCCTTGGTGGGGGTAGATTTTTTTTTCTTTCTTTCTTTTTGTTGTTGTTGTTGTTGTTGTTGAAGGGGGGGGGGGGCGTCCATAACTTCATCAAAACTATGGCTGTTATTACGTTTCCTTTAAACAGAGACGCGGTGGTGACTGTTCTTACGCAGTACACTCGATTTGCCTCAGCCGCTAAAATTTACACGACACCCCCCAACTATCAGTGACAACGCAACATGGGTAGAAAAGCAAAGCAAGAAATAATGACGTGGAGAAGTTTCGCCGTCTTGTTACCAACAAACTTATGCATTATTCCTTTCTTTCTTTCTCTCTCTCTCTCTCTCTCTCTCTCTCTCTCTCTCTCTCTCTCTCTCTCTCTCTTTTCTTTCCCTTTTAAGGAGCCAAATCGTAATAATATTTGAAAGAGATGAAATCTTGGAACACTATTAGATTCATCTCTTTCCAGACACAGGGTGGACCTTATCGAGCAATAAGTTCTTCAAATGTCTCACAGCCACAAGAAACCAAGACCTTTTCGTACTGAGACTGGTAAACTAAAGAACACCATATTACTATGTTGATACTGCTGTCGTTGCTGCAGAAATAGACATGATTGTTGTTGTATTTGACGATGCTGTTGCATTTGTTGCAGTGGTTGTGGAAACCGTTGTAGCGGTTATTGTTGCTGTTATTACGTCATAGTTTACAGTCAGTACTTTCGATGTTAACAGCATAGGCAAATAGAATGAAAAAATAAAAATAAAAAACACGAGAGAAAAGGACAGAGAGGACATCGACCTCATCCTAGACCCACTCAACATCAACGCACGAAAGGGATCTTTACATTGCAAAGTCGAAGTTTCGTTACATCCATGGTACAAAACCCGGCAAAGACTTTCATATCGAATGAGCATGAAAACTGATATTAATTTCGAAATTCCACATTTCCCAACCAGACGCCCAAAGGAATTCTGTACGCTTAGGGCAAAAGTGGAAAGTTTTATTTGTTTGTTTTATTTTTGTTTGTTTTTTAATTCTTAAAGAACACTGAGTGTGTTTGTGTATAGGTGTGCGCGCGCGTACTCGCCAGTGCACGTGTGAGTGCGTGTGTGTGTGTGTGTGTTTGCATGTGTGTATGTGTGTGTGTTTGCATGTGTGTATGTGTGTGAGTGGGTTTGCATGTGTATGTGCGTGCAAGTGTGAGTGTGAGTGCGTATGAGTATGGGTGTCTTGCAGGTGAATGGATGAGTTGAGTATGTACATTCATGTGATAGTGTGTGTGCGTGTGCATGTGTGTGTGTGTGAGTGTTTGTGTGTGAGTGTGTAAGTGTGTGTGTGTATGTGTGTGTGTGTGTGTGTGTGT